TTAAGAAAAAAAAAAACATATATATAAAAGAGTGACCTGTTGTCTAATGGGACTCCTGGTGTGGTGCTGTAGAATCAGCACTGGACTGCTAACCACAAGGTCGTCAGTTCAAACCTACAAGCTGCTCCTTGGAAACCCTAAACAGGGTCACTGAGTTGGAACCGACTCCACAGCACTTAGTAGCAGCTGCAGTGTTTCATAGCTGCATAGCTGTCTACTACAAAATGCCAACTGTTGTCCATAAACTGCTTTAGGATTTCAGCCATCACACTCCTCTGGCACCGTAGCATCACCTACTCATAAGGAGTATTTACAGTATTTATGAGTATTTACTCATAAGGAGTATTACACCGGACATTTACAGCTATATTTCTGTCCGGTAGACACCTGTGTCTTCTGGGTACTGAATGCAGGCAGTCCTCGCTTTGCACAGTCCTGTGGTAGCAAACACCCATGCAATGCCAGGACACATTCACCGCATGCACAACCTTCTGTTAACACATCACTGAGCAAAGTGTGGACTAGCTGCTTTTTGTAATCACTTGGTGTCTTTTTCTCAATTATAAAAATTAACAATACAATTAAAGTCATCATGGAAGTTTCTGACTATGACTTCAGTGTTCCTACATTTGTAACAGCCAAGGAAAAGTGTAAGGACGCTGTTAACGTTCTTAAAACGTAATGTTAATCTAATATCCAAAGAACTGTGCTAATGTGCTTCCTGTCACCAGCGCTGTATGAAAGTGATAGTTTTTTCTAATCCTCTTAAATCCAGCTACATGCAAACAGCAGCTCAGTTCAGGGTTTTTAACTACTAACAAATATTTTGAATCATGGTCAAACAAAACTAAAGCCTGAAGACTCAAACCCTCATCATTGCTGTCCCAATTCTATCAAATTCCGTAAGATTACTTAAGACTTACCTCCAGTTCAAGATCCTGAGGCTCCATTTCCGAAAGTGACAACACAGCAATTTTGGTCACTTTACAGACCTCATGGTCTCCTGGAAGTTTGCCCACCACTGCTTTCTGCCGAATTAGAATAAGCCACCACGGAAGATCTGAAAGAGATAAGTGATCTCAATAGTTGCTATGTATAGAGGGCCATCATCCTGGCAAGAGGAAGACAAAGAATCTAACAGCAATATGTGTTTATATACACATGCCACCTGGTAAATAACACCGAGAAACATACAACAATGTATTTATATACACATGCATTTAATTTAAAAGATACAACCTGGTAAAGTCAACACCAAGAAAGATACAAAGATGGGCCTTAAGCAAGTGAGAATACTGACTTATGTGTGGTGTTTGCCATGGGCTTCAGATGTAATTTTCAGGCCTTTTCTCCCACAGAGCAGCTGGTGGATTTAAACTATACACTTCTCAGTTAGCAACTGAGTGCTTAGCCACTGTGCCACCAAGTCTCCTTTCACACATAATTACCTGCTGCCACCAAGTCTATTCCAAATCACAGTAACCCTACAACCAAAGTAGAACTGCCCCACAGGGTTTCCTAGGCTGGAGTCTTTGCAGAAGCAGACTGTCACATCTTTCTCCTGAGGAGTGGCTGGTGGGTTTGAACTGTTAATATTCTGGATAGCAGTCAAGCTCGTAACTACTGCACCTCCAGGGCTCTTTTACACTCATAATTGTTGCTGTTACTAACTACCAACAAGTTGGTTCCGACGCATAGCGAGCCTGTGTAGAGTTTATGAGGAGCAGCTGGTGGGTTTGAACTGCCAACCTTTTGGATTACAGTCCAGTGCAGATCCTACAATGCCACGCCAGGAGTCCACACTCAAAACTGTTATTGTTGTTGTTGTTAAGTGCCGTTGAGTTGGTGCCAACCCATAGCGACTCTGTACAGGGTTTCCAAAGAGCGGCTGGTGAGCTTGAACAACTGACCTTGCAGTCCAGCGCACTCATAATTAGGGGAATGTAAATGAAAGCAGCAATGCGGTATCATTTCTCACCTATCCATCAGGTGAAATTAAGAAATATGACAATATAACCTCTTAGAGAGGCCATGGGAAATAGAAAGGTTCAGTGTTGGTAGGAATACAAACTGGCATCACCTTTCTAAAGAAAAATTTCACAACACCTAACAAAGACTACAAAGCTGTTTGAACTGCAAGGTTGGAGGTTCAAGCTCACCAGCTGCTCCTCGGAAACCCTATACAGAGTCGCTGTGGGTTGGAACCGACTCAGCGGCACTTAACAACAACAACACAGGTCCCTGGCTTATTAAATGTCCAACTTCCATATAACACTCAGCTACAGACCGACCAATCCAGTAACGTCTATTACAATGGCTTGTAATAATACATGGGCAGGACTTCTTGATGCTCATCAAAACATTATTGGTGGTGGTTATGTGGCGTGGAGTCAGTTCCAACTCATAGTGACCCTGCCTGTACAGGGTTCCCGAGGCTGTAAACCTTTACAGGAGCAGAAAGCCTCATCTTCCTCCCACGGAACCGCTGGTAGTTTTGAACTGCTGACTCTTAGGTTAGCAGCCCGATTCATAACCACTACACTACCAGAGCTCCTTAAAACATTATTTATTATTGCTATGTTATTATTATTCTAAGGAGTCCTGGTATGGTGCTGTAACGAAAGCACTGGACAGCAAGGTCGGATTTGAACCACAAGGTTGGCAGTTCAAACTCACCAGCCGCTCCTAGGAAACCCTATACAGGGTAGCATTGAGACGGAACTGACTCCAGGGTACATAACAACAACATTATCTCTAACATGTTTCAGTGGGTCAGAGTATGTCTTAAATCTTCTTTAATGTAGGGAAAGGCACACTATATACTCAGACAGACATGTCACTAACTGATACAAACCACACCTAACTATTCAACTTATGGATAAATTAAATGTAAAGACAGATGGAACACAGGAATTTGTTCATAATCTGGAGGCTGCCTATACAAGGGCTAACGCAAAAAGTATTACTAAAAAATCATAGAAACCTTTATTAAACAAAAACATGAAAACTGTGAAGCTAGACCTAGCATGGACGGCTTGCTGAGCAGGAGTCCACCAGATGAAGACAGACAAGCATGAAAAGGGAGAGAGCGTAAATTGCTACAACCTGATCAACTGGACTCGTGATACGGATGATGCTGTTCAAAACGACAACCAAACGGAAAAAATCTTCACAGCAAGGACCAAACATGTCTCCTTAGTACACTGGGCTGATAGGGATGGGCAACTTACGACTTGGGCTACCAAAACTGGGAGGCTATAAAGGCAAGAAGTGGCTGACTTACAAGCTTTCATGAGGGTGCTTAGTGTCAGAACACAGGGAGTACGACAGATACCCAACTGAATAATTTCCCTCCTGTCCAGATGGGTCTGGTAATGAGGGGGATAAGACTTTCTGAAACCATTGCAAATATTTGCTTTCAGCTTTAGTGGTGATTGTCACAACTGTTAAGTATAGAAGAGGTACAACTAAAAGGGGGAGCAGTTAATCTGTCATCTCAGGAACTAGGGACCCTAGGACCATCAAGAGGGAAGAGCATGAGAGGAGCGAGGGATCCTGACCATAAAACCAGTGACAACAGAGATGGTGACAGAGGCCATGGCACAGAGAGAGAGCGCAGCAGTGGACTGTAGGCCCAGGGACTGAGAAAAGCAGCGTGCCTACAGACAGGAGGCTGGCTTGCAAAATGTACCCTTTGGACATTTAAACAAATACTTATTTACAATGTGGTGTGTGTATGCAAGAAAAAAAAAAAAAGTCATAGAGGTAAGCACTGTTGAAGGGTACTGTAATCATTATAACAATCTGTTGAATGTAAAAATGGTGATCTGTCCTCTAGGCCTTCACTCACTCAATACACAATAAAAACTTAAAAAAATGAAGTTACTGTGTCTTAACAAATCCTCAAACAGGTCAATACATTTTTTCTAAGGCAGGGTCTCTCTCTCTCTCTCTCTAACCCTTCCCAAAGAATTCTGTGCTCTTAGATACACACCACATCAAAATGGCACTTTGGCCATGGTTGAAGGACTCAAATCGTGTTCCTTCAAAATGTTCTTTGAGTTTGAGGAGCAAAAAGAAGTCTAAAGGGACAAGGTCAGAGTTTTAGGGGGTCAGGGTAAAGTTTCCCAAAGAAATTCTTATAGGGCAGTCTTTGCTATCCTCAAAGAATAAGCAAGTTGTCGTAATGGGAAAAAATTCCTCAGCACAACTTTTCTGGTCATTTCTCACTCAAGCAGTTTGTGATTGTCTTAAAACTTCTTCATGATTAACTTCTAGGACAGTCCTGTGTCCTTTGAGAAAAATCTATCGCAATTACGCCTTGGAATCCCAAAAACAGTCACCTTTGGAGCTGACCTCTCCGCCTTAATTTAACTGGCCCAGCAGACCCCCTTCTGAAGCCACTGTTGTTGTTTTTTAATGTTTTATTGTGAATTATATGATAGTTTACATGGGAGAACATTAGCTTTACATATCATTTCATTGCCATGGTTACAATCCCCTCCATGCATCATCAACCAACCAAAGGGTATACTCTGCAAGCCTACCTCCCACCCCCAGTCGTCAGCACACAGCTCCTCTCCCTCTCTGGGTCTAGAGTCCCCATGAAGCCATTGTTTTGATTGGACTTTACTTTGTAGGCACCCTAACGAGACGAAACCAAGTATATTACTGAGAGAACTTGTCTGCAGCCTGCTTTCAGAGACTTGTTTCAACACATTTTGTTTGGAAAAAACCAGTGCATATATATACTGGAACCCTATAGCAATATTTTCTGACATACCCTCACAAAACATTTGTACTTAACTTTTAAGTAAGCAATCTCACGCCTACGAATTTACCCTGAAGATACCCCCTAACACTTTCACCTCTACTCATTACAGCAGTTTGTAATGGTGAAATACTGGAAGCATCCTAAATGCCAAGACCGGCACATCCACTGTGACACATCTACACGATGAAGGTTGGGCAGCTGAGAAGACTGATAAGAACAGCTCTTGAATCTGTTCTCCAGTAAAGAGAGCAGCCAGAGTGTGCTACCCGCCCTCGTGTAAGACAGAAGATATAATATGCATGTGTCTGATGGTTTGAGGGATACAATGAGATTAACTGGCAATCTACGGGACAAGTTGAGGGTGGCAAAGATATGAAGAAGAACAGATAAGCAACTCTTAGAGCTATGTGTTTACCCTTCTCATTATTGTTGGCTTTGTTAAGGTGGTTTTCTTTTTCTATTTTTTGAGCTTTTCTGATGTCTTTTCTTTACTACGTGTGTGCCTAGTCTGTCACTTTTTGCACTTTTTTTTGCCCTGAGGTGTAGCAAGCAAAGGCGCAGCAAATGAAAAGTATCCAGCATAGAGAAATATCTATTAAACCCAAAACCCTGCACAGGGTCGCTATGAATCAGAACCAACTCAACGGCAGTGAGCAAAGGCGTAAGGTCCTAACCTAAGGAATCTAACCCTAACTCCTTTCTTCTTTGGAAAATGGTAAGCTGATCAATGAATTAGAATTTTTATCACCCTCCCAACTTGCCTTTGGATTTCCTTAGTAAAGAAAACATAAAACAAAACATTGATTATATCTAATTACATTAAAATCAGAAACCTCAACAAAGCAAAAAGACAAATGAGAAAACAATATTTGCATCACAAATATTGATTAAATTTAATAATGCTAGAATCAGAAACTTCAGCATTAACAAAAGGCAAAGGAGAAAATATTTGCAACCAAAGGACTAATCTCCCTAATTTATAAAGAGTTTTTCTAAAAATTGAAAAGACAAAGGATTCAAGAGAGAGATGAGCAAAAGAGACGAGAATACATTCAGAGAAAAGAGACTGCAGGTGGCTAAGAAAACATGAAAGGATGCCCACGCTCATTCAATACAAGGGAAAGTGACTGAAAATTGCACTGAGACATCCTCGTTTGCACTGTGAAATACAGCAATGTGTTTCTATCACAATGGAGAAATACAAAAACATGCTATCATGCACTTCATCTGGCTGGGGGTAAACAGACATTGTTGTGAGAATGTAACTTGGCACTGTCTCTGTAGGG